CGCTGAAGAGTGAAACAAACAAAAGCACTTGTAAACCAGGATTTTCGCCCATGCCTACGAAGAAAAAAACTTGGGGGAAAACCCTACTTTGTGCGAAATGATACCCTCTGACAAGCGTCATGGATGTCTCACAGAACCATGAGGTCGCCACTTTACTGGAATAGCGTCATTTCAGAATAGACGGGCAGAAGTTAGCAGCAAAACCGTGTTTTTCGACAAATTCTCCTGTGCACTGATCTTTCTGTGCGAGATTGATCAATTTCTCACCTGAGTGTGAAAATCTTTATGAGTTGTTCCCAACTATCTCGACTAAGAGAACGTAGAAGAGCAGCGCGCCGCGTGGTCTCCCCATATAATGGCATCACCATTCCTCTCTTATGACCGTGTGTACAGTTCTCCCCTATGCCGAGGCTCACCATTGATCAACATCTTTATGATGCATTGTCTGCGGGGTAGACCCCGGTTTTGAAGGCGGCATATACTGTCTGCAAGGGGACAACTTGGAAATTTTTACAGGTTTCAGGGCAGAATCATTCATTTGGATATTGGTTTTATTCTTTTGTTTATGTTTACATATAGTGTTGCGTACCGCTCCGGTTTCGGGGCAGTTCAGCAACGAGGGGGAGGCATTTTGTACTTCGGTACTTTCCATCGATTTGTCTACCCATCTATAGAACTATTTCATGAGCTTACATGAGTCAACAGGTTCTGCCATAGTGACTCGACGAGCTAGCTCCAGCTCCACAAGACTTCACAGGTTGCACCAGGTAGACTTGTGAGCTGGAACTAGTGAAGCAGCAAAAGTGCAACCCCCCCGTTGCGAACTGCGCCGGGTTTTCTTTCGTTTGTAAGTGGAGCATGCAGGCGTCATTTTCAGTTGGATGGTAATGCTGAGGAGGCTTCTAACAGCTCTTCGAGCATAAAAAATGTTTGGTGACACGAATCTATTTCTAAAAGTAGTTCTGCTTATGATGAGCCACACTCATGGTCAACATAGGATTTATCTATTTTCTGCTGTCGGTTTGTGCTCACATCAAAATCCTTTAAACCTTCTACTGTATTATACGTAGTACTTGTCAACTGACGCCACTTGTTTATTAGGGATGTTCTCTGTCTTTATAATGTCAGCAACGGGTTTCCTTCTTAATTCTCGTTTGATTTGATGCTGTTCATCTCACTGATGGCGGTCATTTTGTAAAGGGCATCGATCATGTTTATGTGTCTGCTAGCGACTAACAGCTGGTCGTCTATTGCAGCGCTTGCCGCTCAGCAACCTGAGATTGACGAGAAGATGGTCCTCCAGCAGCAACAGCAACCTCATCAACTTCATTCCCATCAACCCCAGCGAGAACATGCCATTACACCACCGGCTATTGAGGATCATCACTTGCATGGTTTAAACCCTACCAGTACGACGCAGGTTTGTTTATTCTTTCTTGATTTTGTGGAATTCAGTAAACTTCACCGTAGCTGATAGTTGAGTTTTTGCAGGTGGTGCCCGACATGCGTTCCACGTTAGTGTCTCCCTTGCATGCCCACGAAATGGCGGCAAAACTGCTTGCAAATGGCTCGTTGTCTCCAAACACTAACGGCCTTGCACAATACAACCCATTCCTTCTAGCTGTTCTTCAGCCGTTTGCCCTCCAACAACTTCTGCAAGCGCAGGCTTTACAGCAACAATACTTGGTGAGCAGCTATTCCCCGACCTGCTTTTGGTGACGTTGGCATGGTCTTGATTCTTCTTCTTCAGCAACTACAACAGCAGGCAGTGGCTCAGCAGCAAATGGAAGCTCAGGCTCTGTGGGCCTCGTCCAGTATTTCTGCCAGTCCTGCGCACGCTTCGGATAGCGAGGTGAATATTTTAGCACGGTTATACGAGGGCGTTGAAAGTATTCTCGGTATCGGGGTAAGACAGCAGTGACGAAGGAATTTAAATCATTCCAATAAGTAGGACCCTTCCAAGGGGGGTATAAATACAAAATTTTATTTGGTTATCACGAATGCTGTTCTAGTTATCCTTGGTGAAAGAAGACCAGAATGACTGATGCGACAATGTTGAGAAAATGATTACTGATTAAAAAATTGAGAAAAATGAAAAGAAAATTGAGAAAATGATTAGCGATTACTTCTTATTCTCCAACCTAAAAAATCTTCGTGGAAAGCGTTTTTCTGACGATGTAGAGCTGGACGGAGCAATTAGCTCACATTGTGGGGACAATGGGGAGGGTCTTTTTCTGGGATATTTTTCAGAAAAGTTCGTTTTTCGAGCAAACAAGTGGATTGAGGTTATGGGGGACCTATTGAAGAATAGATTTTATTCAGAATTTTCTGCCTTCCTTCGTACCTATACCAAGAATACATTGAACCCCCCTCATATGGAGAACCTTCTATCTCACTAAAACCTCTTTTTATGTCTAGGTGTCAGAGATGTCCGAGCTTTCGCCACTCCCTCAGACGGAGGCGCCGATACGTCCACATTCGCCTCCTTTCAAAGATCCCCACCAATTGGCAGACAAATCACTGTTGAGGCTGTTAAATCTTAATCAACTATCGGAAAAAGAGCAAATGGCCGTGGCCGTTTTGGCCGGATTCGCGTCGATGGGACGTTAAACGTACGAGTGATGCGTCGCGGACGAGTTCTGAAATGCGGCCGCGTCCGAGTTTCTGTGAGGTGTGGCTACCGGTTTGGCTTCTAAGCCATTAACGGATACACTGACGAAGAAACCCCATTAATCCCGGTTCTCCGCTCTCTTTATCTTGTTACCCTTTTAGCCTTTAGCGTTCTCCATTCTGGCTGGTAATGCGTTATTGCGTATAATTGCTATTTTTCTTGTCTGCCATGCCTATTATAAATAAAAATGGCAAACATTCGGCCCACTCATCGAGTATTCTCCCTTTACTATTTTTGTCTGTTCTTCATTTTGATGAAGTTCGTAACGAATGCGTGTCGTTTATTGTGTCTACGATGATGTTTCTATTACGCGTCTCTTCTGTCTCATAGTGTTTTCATCGTGTGTTGCAAGATGTTGTACGGATATCTTCGGAGGTGCGTAGGCGTGTCAGGCGACGTAACGGTTAGTGTCGCGTCGCTCGATCACTGTAGCCGCTCGCCCATGGCTCGCGTATCCTCGCTCGTGTCGCTCCGTCCATCCATCTCTGATTGGTCGAATACGTGTATCTCCTGTCCGGGCCGTGTTAGCCGCGCGCCTATCGCGCAGACGGTCATTTTGTATATGAGTTCTGATTAAGAAAACTGAATGTTGATTGTTTTCCTTGTAAGGATTGCTCTTTAGCGATCAGTATCGTGTTTCGCCAACCATAGTTGTTTATTGCGCCTGTTTCCCCACCCATCTGTCTCAATGTTCCTCTACCTTTTCTATATTCTATATTATTACGTTTTTTTTCGTACTCGGGCGATTTCCTTCAGGAGTGTGGATGTAGCCTGTAGCCTGTGTTTATGACATCATGGTTTCGATGGAGTTCATTCAACGATTTCTTTTTTTGGTAACTGGAACCAGGTGGCATGGACCAGCTTTGTTAATGAACTTCTTCATATTACTGAAATGATGGAAAGGAAGAAAAAAAAATCAAAATTCCGATAAAAAGTCACATAGGATGTTTGTGAAGCATGGCTTACAATTATTCTCATTGTAGTCACAACACTGACATTCAGAACATTTTGAAAAACAGAAAAAACAAAGAAGTAAGAAGAAGCAGAGTAGTGGTCTTAGGTTTTCAAAGGCATCTGGCCGATAATTTGCTACTAGGTCTAAAATGGTAGCAGCCGTAGAGGGGGAAACGCGAAAAAGCCATAGGAGAGGTCAAAAATCTGCAGAAAAGGCCTATGTTCTACTTGGTTCAGGAAGCGATTTAGGACGAGTTTCTTGTTGGTGTCGTGCCAATAAGCGCTGCGGAGCTGCGTGTATTTAATTATATAGCCTGCTGCACCGCAGCCGCTTCATATCAATCTCTTCGCTTCACATTGTACTTCGCAAATGAATCGAGTCGGTATGTTGCAGTTCGATAGGTCGTTATAAGGGTACCTTCCTCGGACAAGTGCCACGCAGCGCCTGCTCAGTGGCGCTGACTTCTGCCTTGCAGGCGTAGTAATACTACCTGTCTTGAAATTTATCGTACCATTTGCCTTTGAGCGATCAGCTTGTTATTCTTTTCATAAGGCGATCGAGTGATGGCTGCCTCCCTGCGACTCAAACTTGAAAGTTGGAGCTCCTGATCAGATTTTAGTATCCATCGCTGTTTAGGAACATGGTGCACACAGAGTTCTGGAGTGTGAAGGTGACCTTACTTCCTTTCTGTGTGGGAGCGAGAGTATTGCATGAGTTAGCTTTGGGTGAGCAAGCTATTCAAGTACCCAGTGCACTCAGCTTGAATTCAGTATCAGTTGTTTCTATGAATGCATATGGTAGCCATCTAAAAACCGCCAACTAAGGGCGGACATAAGCGCTATCAGGAGTAACCACTTGCTTTGTCATACCGGATGGTTGCTTCCTATCCCCGAAAGGCGGTCATGTGTGCAAAGTGATAAGCGTGTCTGCTTGCCTTATACTTGAGACCTTTATTCTCTGATGGCTTTGAATGTCAGGTGGGATGAGTCATGGGGGCCAGGAATGTCGTAACATTTGCGATTTTTCTTTTCCTTGAGGAAAAACGCGTTGCTCGTAACACAAGAGAAGACAACCTGTGTGGCAATTGTATACCCAGAATAGGAATCAGCCAAATTATGGCCCAAGAAGCAACATATGTCATTTGCGTCCCATCACTAGTTTGGTTTAGGTCTAAGATTGTCGGGGTGGAAAGGCGAATAACGCTTTGTTATGTACGTATTCTTAGGCTTGTTCGTGCCAGAGCATCGCTCTAGATTGTAGCTTGGGACGGCTTCTTCAGTGCCGGTTCGTCCACTCATTGAGTTCAGGCTTGCAATGCTTTCGTGATGGTGGTCTGGCGAGCACCGTCAAGACCGGGCCATTTCAACGACGACAAGCTTCTCTGCGTTGTGGCCATTTCCAACATCTCGTCAGTGTACCCTCATGTAAGCAATATCTCAATTATTACATAAAAGTCCACTACTTTAACAAAGGAAGAGAAAGCTAGAAAGTCGGTAGGAAGGCTGGAGACCATTAGCCATAGCAATGAAAATGTTTATGAGTGAAGAATAACCCTTCTGTTACTTAACTAGAGTCACATTTTGCCATTCTACAGGTTCCTCCGGTTGAAACTGGATTGCTCTCTGTAATTCGTATAAACTGCCACACCCCTTTGCTTTTCTTTATCCCTCTGTTGCGCCCTGCGCGTGTAGAGCCTGACCAGGAAAGGTCGTACATTGGGAATCCTCAGCGAATAGGTCGTCTTTGGTCGCTCAGAGAAGGAGGTTATACCCGGGGAAAATGACGGGGAGGTCGTGATTTGCCAAAATTCCCCCCCCCCCAAGGGCGGAACGTCACATGTGCCCTTGTTGTCGCTTAATTTCGCACATGGCAGCTTGATGACGATCTTATCGCTTACTTCTACAGCAGGTCCTAATAGGCACCTCGTCATAAATTCGAAAGAAGGACCGAAGCATTTTGATTAATTGGACAGCAGAGCAGGCATACGCTACCGAAACCCCTATGCAGCGAGGAGGTTTTTGGCTGTGTTTCATCGTTTCTGCGCGTCTTCGGAAGCCTGTTCGTTCAGTGTTCTGCCTTGAAACTCAGTGGAACCGGCCTTTAACGACTATGAGGAGACATGGAGACGTCAAACGAATCATAATTGGAACACTTAAAAACCGTGCTTGTGCATAAGAATGAAATCACTTTTTATCAGCCATGTCGAAATATCAAAAAGGGTGATTGAATAAATTGTAAATTTTGTGCCTCCATAATCACAATATCACGGATGCTCATATGTGCCTACACTGACTCGCCTCAACTCATTTTATCAGCCATGAATTTATAGTTGAGTAAATACTTTCAACTATATGTCAAAGCAGTGGGTTACCTCCAGAAATAAAGGTGGAAAGAAAACCTGCGGAATTACCCCAGGTATGAGTCGGCTGTCGATCCGAGCTTGTACTAGCGGTGTGCTTCAAAGAGCTTCTTTTATTAGTATTACAGCAGCTCTAGGCTGCGTTCATACTTTGCGGCAGGTCAACCAGCGTCTATGAGCGTCCACTAGCGTTCCAAGCGTCCGGCATCGTCAGCTACGAAAGTATTGATATTGATCTAGCGTCTGAGAGCGTCTACTAGCATCTGCCAGCGTCTCGAGGGCTATGGATGCATAGGCAACGATCTAGCGTCGCCCAGCGTTCATCAGCGAAAGGGACTAGAGGTGATGGGGAAGTAAGGAGGGTGGCAACCTGCTGGATTGGGGGTTGTGAAACTGCGGAGTGTTCAACCGCGCCGCACAATTGCTAAAGCGCAGACGCTGCTAGACGCTCGGAACGCTGGTGGTCGCTGGCGCTGCCGCAAAGTATGAACGCGGCCATATCAGCTGTTTTCTCTTGTCACTCTCACAATTTGAAGAAGAAAGGGTTAGAGTGAAAAAAAACCGCACTACGTGGAAATCTTTCAGAAATAACATTGGGTGGGGCATGGGCAGTGGGCGGTGCGTTGAATTCGTATTTTGAAGAGACGTTTCCATGTTGGCGCAATCGGGGTTGCGTCCCTGTCCACACAGAAAAAATGACAGTTGTTTCAAACTGAAATATCCCACGAGCAACCCATTCTATGCAGTGCTCAAGGCCACGCCTACTCTGTCTCAGGGATAAGGAATGTACCTATTATTTTTCGCGTACTTTCCAGTCTTACAAATCTACAGAGTCGCTGGATATAAACTGCACTTACCCAAGCGCAGTGCTCCTTTGTTGGAGCACCGCTTCATCTCAGACTCACCATTCCGCTCATAAAATGAGAGCGTGCAGTCTAGCATCATCTCGTTAGGAAAATGGGTTCTATGTCATAGAATAAGCAATCTTTTCGAGGAATCTCTGCGGCAACCTTTCAGAGAGGCTTCTGTCATCTATTCGGTTCTGGAATGTGACGGATCAAGCGGACACTGCACAAATAACCTAATGCTATGGCGCTATTCCCTTCAAAAAAATACTCTGAAGTCCCACAGGTGAGTCTTCGGGACCTTGCAACCGCCGTGATTGATAACACTTAGAGGGAAATTGTATTCAAAATGTTTCGGACCGCGTGACACACATGGTGTGTCACACTCTTTCCTCTCCGCGCTCTTTCTCTTATGGCCCATTTGGCATATATTTCATATTACTTACTGAACACGTTCTGCAAGACACATATCTCATATTCCAGTGAAAAACACGGATGAAATTACTGGTTATCGACGTAAAAAGTGACGAAATGATGCAGAGATT